TACTTATTGTTTTCAAAACAATACTCGATAAACCATTAAAATAAAATTTTGGTAAAGAGAAGCAACAAAAAAAAAAAACACGCATGTAATTACGATAATTATAATATACACGCATTGTTATTGCAGACATAGTACCGTTATAAGCGGCATAAATTATTTAAAACTAATAATAATCTTTATGGAAACAAAAGGATGTGAGACACGCACACAAAGAAAGCAAGGAATTGGTTGACAAACACAGACACAGCCAGTTGACAAACATGTAGTAGAGAATACATTACAAACAGAAGTGAACGACAACTGAACTACAATAGAAGTATAACTGAACTACAATTGAGCTACAAATGAACTACAACTGAACTATAAGTGAGCTTTAAATGGTCTGTAACTGAAGTTTGACTGCACTACAAGTGAACCACAGATGAACAACAACTCAACCTTAAATGAAGTTCGATTGAAGTACAACTGAACTACAACTAAACTACAACTGAAATACAACTAAACTACAACTGAATTATAACTGAAATACACTTTATTTAGATTCGAACTACAACTTAACAACTGAGCTACAATTGAACTACAACTGAGCTTTGAATGATCTGCAGCTGAAGTTCGACTGTACTACAACTGAACTACAACTGAACAACATTTCTAAACTACCAACAACTGAACTAAACTACTTTAAATGAACTGCAACTGCATTCGAATTGAACTACAACTAAACTTCAACTAAACTACAACTATACTACAACTAAACTACAATTGAACTTCAACAGAATTACAACTCATTTAGAATCGAACTACAACTTAACAACAAAATCTACTAAAACTAAACTACGTTTCCATTTACCCTGAAACCTTTAGAACTTTGCTCTGCAAAAAGTTAATTCCTATTAAATTCAATTTTCCTCTTAACCAGCTTAAACCTTTGCGTTAAGTTTCTTTATTACCAAACATTTAATTGAATTTTATTTTGTCGTTTTCTCGACTTGTTAACATAATTTAGCATTATTTTAACTAAGATTGAAAAGATTATAATTTGTAATTTATTTCACCAACAAACTGCAGTTCTTTTCTGCACACTCCATAAAAACCTCCTTTAAAATTGATACCTAATTTAGTATTGAATTTTAATTTCGAGACAAAGAAAAAAAACAGCTCCATTTAACTGCACCTATTTTCAGTTTAAGACATTTACAACTTATTTTAAAATTCGATTTTTTTCTAGTAATACAAACGAAAACCTCTCCCTAGCTCATTAATCATTAATTTAATTTAAAACTAAACACACACATACACTCATTCATTCATAAGTAGTAGTTTAAGTCTATAGACCGACCAACAAACTTTAAACAGTCTCAAAAATTCAAATGTTTAACCAGCTAGAAAACAACCATTTAAATATTGTAAACACTTTGGTGTTGTTGCAACAATAAAACTGCATTTAACCGTATATGCATAAGAAACCGAGAAAAATCTTAACTTGTCTTAATGTTGCAGATAATCCCTCTACTTAAAATATTAAACAAATGTTGGCTTTAATATATGTTAAAGCCATGGTGTTGATGAGGTTTTAAAAATACACTCTACATTAGTCAAGTGCTATAATGGACTCAGTACTTGGAATGCAAAACGTTTGTAAACAAAGTTGTAAAGCTCGTAGTTCGAACATGTTAGGTTTCATTAATTTTCTAAACCTTAGTTTAACTGCGTTTAAATATGATGAAAATGAGCTTTCAAATTAAAGCTTTAAGGTTCGTAGGACCACAATATTGTAGGCATTAAAAAATCTTCACCTTAATTTAACAGAGAACTTGTCATTCCTAGAACTAGAACTAGAAAGAACTAGAACAGAACTAGAACAGACCTAGAACAGACCTAGAACAGAACTAGAACTGAACTAGAACAGAACTAGAACAGAACTAGAACAGAACTAGAACAGAACTAGAACAGAACTAGAAAAAAACTGGAACAGAACTAGAACAGTATTAGAACAGAACTAGAACAGAACTAGAACAGAACTAGAACAGAACTAGAACAGAACTAGAACAGAACTAGAACAGAACTAGAACAGAACTAGAACAGAACTAGAACAGAACTAGAACAGAACTAGAACAGAACTAGAACAGAACTAGAACAGAACTAGAACAGAACTAGAACAGAACTAGAACAGAACTAGAACTGAACTAGAATAGAACTGGAACAGAACTAGAACAGAACTAGAACAGAACTAGAACAGAACTAGAGCAGAACTAGAACAGAACTAGAACAGAACTAGAACAGAACTAGAACAGAACTAGAACAGAACTAGAACAGACTAGAACAGAACTAGAACAGAAATAGAACAGAACTAGAACAGAACTAGAACTGAACTAGAACTGAACTAGAACAGAACTAGAACAGAACTAGAACTGATCTAGAAACTGAACTAGAACTGTAACTAGAACTAAACTAGAACTGACTAGAACTGAACTAGAACTGAATTAGAATTGAACTAGAACTGAACTAGAACTGACTTAGAATTGAACTAGAACTGAACTAGAACTGAACTAGAACTGAACTAGAACTGAAATAGAACTAGAACTGAACGAAAACTGAACTAAACTGAACTAGAACTGAACTGGACACTAAACTAGTACTAAACTAGAACTGAACTAGAACTAACTAGAACTAAACTAGAACTGAACTAAAACTGAACTAGAACTGAACTAGAACTGAACTAGCACCTGAACTAGAACTGAACTAGAACTGAACTAGAACTGAACTAGAACTGAACTAGAACTGAACTAGAACTGAACTAGAACTGAACTAGAACTTGAACTAGAACTGAACTAGAACTGAACTAGAACTGAACTAGAACTGAACTAGAACTGAACTAGAACTGAACTAGAACTGAACTAGAACTGAACTAGAACTGAACTAGAACTGAACTAGAACTGAACTAGAACTGAACTAGAACTGAACTAGAACTGAACTAGAACTGAACTAGAACTGAACTAGAACTGAACTAGAACTGAACTAGAACTGAACTAGAACTGAACTAGAACTGAACTAGAACTGAACTAGAACTGAACTAGAACTGAACTAGACTGAACTAGAACTGAACTAGAACTGAACTAGAACTGAACTAGAACTGAACTAGAACTGAACTAGAACTGAACTAGAACTGAACTAGAACTGAACTAGAACTGAACTAGAACTGAACTAGAACTGAACTAGAACTGAACTAGAACTGAACTAGAACTGAACTAGAACTGAACTAGAACTGAACTAGAACTGAACTACTGAACTAGAACTGAATAGACTGAACTAGAACTGAACTAGAACTGAACTAGAACTGAACTAGAACTGAACTAGAACTGAACTAGAACTGAACTAGAACTGAACTAGAACTGAACTAGAACTGAACTAGAACTGAACTAGAACTGAACTAGAATTGAACTAGAACTGAACTAGAACTGAACTAGAACTGAACTAGAACTGAACTAGAACTGAACTAGAACTGAACTAGAACTGAACTAGAACTGAACTAGAACTGAACTAGAACTGAACTAGAACTGAACTAGAACTGAACTAGAACTGAACTAGAACTGAACTAGAACTGAACTAGAACTGAACTAGAACTGAACTAGAACTGAACTAGAACTGAACTAGAACTGAACTAGAACTGAACTAGAACTGAACTAGAACTGAACTAGAACTGAGCTAGAACTGAACTAGAACTGAGCTAGAACTGAACTAGAGCTGAACTAAAACTAAACTAGAACTAAACTAGAACTAAACTAGAACTAAACTAGAACTAAAATAGAACTAAACTAGATCTGAACTAGATCTGAACTAGAACTAAACTAGAACTAGATAGAACTAAACGAGAACTGAACTTAAACTAGAAGTGACTTTAATATCTATCTCTTGAGTTTGGTTTAACCTACTTTTTTACTTTACTACCCTAATAAAACTCTTAATTTCAAGTTAATTCAGATTTAATGTTACAAAATTATCATGAACCAAAAAAAGTCTGAAAAAATGAATAACACTCAACATTAAAACCATTTAATATGACCATTATACATATGAATGTATCTTAACACTCATATAAGGCAAATATGTTTAAGTGCATAGAGGAAAAACTTGCAACATGGGTGTGGTATAATGTGATAAGTCAAGGTAACTTAGTAAGTACCACAAATAAAAGCCCTTTTTGCATGTTTTATAAATAAAATTCCAACTATAGAAAAACAAAGCCAAAGGTAAAAAGAAAAATTAAAAATTTTTACATGGCATGTCTGATTTTTTAAGCGTTTTTTTTTTCAGTTATGATTATAAAAGAAATATTTTTCACATATTAATGTTGTTTGCTTGCTGTTTTAGAGGTGGACGTAGTCACACACAATGTCTGCTCTGGAAACGAGAGATAGAGGCCAAGCCAGACGTCGGGACATATTAAATTTGTTCTTGGATTTATTTAGTTTTTTTTTTGCCTTTTTCGGCTAATAGGTGTGTTTGTTAAGTTTTTATGGTTAGGACATAAATAAGATTTAAATTTAAGCACAAAACATATAAGCAACACCTTCCTTTTTCACAAAAAAAACTTTAGTTTTCTACATTTTGTTTAATAAATTTTCCTTTTATCTAATACTTATTTACAAAGTTTATGTGATTTTGTTTTTTCGTTGTTGAGGAAAAATTATGATCATCAATATATTTTTCTTCTATAATTTCAGCAAGATGATCATGTTGTCCATTAGCCAAAGACAAAATCTAACATTTTTCATAATTTTTTTTTTCTTTGTGATAAATTTTGCTGTTTGACATTAAATTGCTTGTAAAACTTTCTACACCATCATCATGTACATATTTGTTGCCTAAGACGCGTCTTAACCACATTTTTTTGCTTTTATCTATAAACATAAATTATAAAATTTCTATATGTAAAAATGTCTGGTTTATTGGTTACTCTTTTTTTTTTTAATATTTGTGTAGAAAATTTGAAAACTCACCTTCCCATGGACAACCCACAATTTCAGCTCTTAAACAGACCGTACGATCATATTGACCATATGGATAGATGCGTACTTTTGAAGCAAAAATTATGGGTTGTAAAGTGTTTTCGACTTCGCTGTAGGTATTGATGTTGCCGGGTAAAATCTGTAAAAGAAATAAATAAAAATATGATAAGTCAATTTAAATTGTGATAGAAAGTTGAAATTCCGCAAAGATCCTCAATGTATTAAGAAAAAGTAGATTCAATGAAATTTATATACATTTGCGCCTAAAAGCTTTCTACACTTTTAATTATGATTTAAGACTAAAAGTAGGCTTTAAAAAACAGAATGTAAGCGTCAAATCTCTGAACAAGAACTGAACTAGAACTGAACTAGAACTGAACTAGAACTGAACAAGAACTAAACAAGAACTGAACTAAAACTGAAGTAAAACTGAAGTAAAACTGAACTAGAACTGAACTAGAACTGAACTAGAACTGAACTAGAACTGAACTAGAACTGAACTAGAACTGAACTAGAACTGAACTAGAACTGAACTAGAACTGAACTAGAACTGAACTAGAACTAAACTAGAACTGAACTAGAACTGAACTAGAACTGAACTAGAACTGAACTAGAACTGAACTAGAACTGAACTAGAACTGAACTAGAACTGAACTAGAACTGAACTAGAACTGAACTAGAACTGACTAGAACTGAACTAGAACTGAACTAGAACTGAACTAGAACTGAACTAGAACTGAACTAGAACTGAACTAGAACTGAACTAGAACTGAACTAGAACTGAACTAGAACTGAACTAGAACTGAACTGAACTAGAACTGAACTAGAACTGAACTAGAACTGAACTAGAACTGAACTAGAACTGAACTAGAACTGAACTAGAACTGAACTAGAACTGAACTAGAACTGAACTAGAACTGAACTAGAACTGAACTAGAACTGAACTAGAACTGAACTAGAACTGAACTAGAACTGAACTAGAACTGAACTAGAACTGAACTAGAACTGAACTAGAACTGAACTAGAACTAAACTAGAACTGAACTAGAACTGAACTAGAACTGAACTAGAACTGAACTAGAACTGAACTAGAACTGAACTAGAACTGAAATAGAACTGAACTAGAACTGAACTAGAACTGAAATAGAACTGAAATAGAACTGAACTAGAACTGAACTAGAACTGAACTAGAACTGAACTAGAACTGAACTAGAACTGAACTAGAACTGAACTAGAACTGAACTAGAACTGAACTAGAACTGAACTAGAACTGAACTAGAAACTGAACTAGAACTGAACTAGAACTGAACTAGAACTGAACTAGAACTGAACTAGAACTGAACTAGAACTGAACTAGAACTGAACTAGAACTGAACTAGAACTGAACTAGAACTGAACTAGAACTGAACTAGAACTGAACTAGAACTGAACTAGAACTGAACTAGAACTGAAGTAGAACTGAACTAGAACTGAACTAGAACTGAACTAGAACTGAACTAGAACTGAACTAGAACTGAACTAGAACTGAACTAGAACTGAACTAGAACTGAACTAGAACTGAACTAGAACTGAACTAGAACTGAACTAGAACTGAACTAGGACTGAACTAGAACTGAACTAGAACTGAACTAGAACTGAACTAGAACTGAACTAGAACTGAACTAGAACTGAACTAGAACTGAACTAGAACTGAACTAGAACTGAACTATAACTGAACAAGAACTGAAGTAGAACTGAACTAGTACTGAACTAGAACTGAACTAGAACTGAATTAGAACTGAACTAGAACTGAACTAGAACTGAATTAGAACTGAACTAGAACTTAACTAGAACTTAACTAGAACTAAGATAGAACTGAACTAGAATTGAACTAGAACTGAACCAGAACTGAGCTTGAACTAGAAATTAATATTTAAATTAAAATAGGCTTTATTATGATAAAAATTTGGTCCTTCGATCCTGTGACCTTTGAGAAAATTTCATATTTTTTCTATATTTAACCTAATTTTAAGCCTAAAAGTTGAGTTAAAATCTAGATCAAGTTGTCAAACTCACCTCCTTTCCTTGAGTGTTCTTCCATCTCTTCCAGCTGGTAAAACCCGGACGCCAATATTCCAAAACATATGCTTCCGTATACTCCTGACCCTGGCCCTTACCAAAACGACCCTGTGTACGTATGGCCGTTACGACATGCACCGACAAGAGGTCAACTTGTAAATATTCTTTTAAAGCATTAGACACCATATGTTTGGGACACCAAGCTCCGCCATTATTATCGGTTTTCAGTCTAAAAAAAATATAGGAAAAAAAAGAAAAACAAAATGTAAAAGTAGTGAAACAACAATAAAACAAAACACATAAATTACAATTATTGTCAAGTCAAAGCAAAGAGAAAAAAATTACAAAATGAATCAAAATAAAAACTTTTTCAACGCATCACACACACAAACGCAAAAATTTGCTAAAGAACCAGAAAATATACAGTAGAAAGCAGAGAAAAAAAAACAGAAAAAAATTCCTATAAATTAATTGACATTAAATGACAGGCCCCACATTGGGTTCTTGGCTGTTGGTTTTTCTGCCAGAAGAAAAAACACCAAACCACCTTATATTCAATATCACCAAACGTCATCGTCTACAAAAATAAAATTAATGTATTTATTTTTTTTCTTCCTACTATTCGTGTTGGTATCAGCAGCAGCGTCTGTTGCTAGTAGTACTATATCGCTTTAAATGGTACGTGCAGCTTAGTAAATTGAGCTTTTTGGTCATACAAAAATCATCAACAAAGCCAAAACAACAACCCAATAACCACTTGAAATGGTTGAATGGTGTTTTTTTTATTTTTATAATGTTTGCATGCTATAGGCAGCAGAATTGAAATTAAGTTAAATTTCATATATTTGATTGGTCCTTCGAACTTTGATTTTATTGATGTTTCGTTTAGATAATTCATTGAACATGAACTAGAACAGAACAAGAACTGAACAAGAACTGAACTAGAACTGAACTAGAACTGAACTAGAACTGAACTAGAACTGAACTAGAACTGAACTAGAACTGAACTAGTACTGAACTAGAACTGAACTAGAACTGAAGCAGAACTAGAACAGAACTAGAATAGAATAAGAACAGAACTAGAGCAGAACTAGAACAGAACTAGAACAGAACTAGAACAGAACTAGAACAGAACTAGAACAGAACTAGAACAGAACTGAACTAGAATTGAACTAGAACTGAACTAGAACTGAACTAGAACTGTACTAAAACTGAACTAGAACAGAACTAGAACTGAACTAGAACTGAACTAAAACTGAACTAGAACAGAACTAGAACAGAACTAGAACAGAACTAGAACAGAACAGAACTAGAACAAACTGAACAGAACCTAGAAACAGAACTAGAACAGAACTAGAACAGAACTAGAACAGAACTAGAACAGAACTAGAACAGAACTAGAACGAACTAGAACTGAACTAGAACTGAACTACAATGAACTAGAACCTGAACTAGAACAGAACTAGAACAGAACTAGAACAGAACTAGAACAGAACTAGAACAGAAAATAGAACAGAACTAGAACAGAACTAGAACAGAACTAGAACAGAACTAGAACAGAACTAGAACAGAACTAGAACAGAAACTAGAACAGCACTAGAACAACTAGAAACAGAACTCGAACAGAACTAGAACAGAACTAGAACAGAAACTAGAACAGAACTAGAACAGAACTAGACAGAACTAGAAAAGAACTAGAACAGAACTAGAACAGAACTAGAAACAGAACTAGACGAACTAGACAGAACTAGAACAACTAGAACTACTAGAACAGAACTCGAACAGAACTAGAACAGAACTAGAACAGAACTAGAACAGAACTTAGAACAGAACTAGAACAGAACTAGAACAGAACAGAAACTAGAACAGAACTAGAACAGAACTAGAACAGAACTAGAACAGAACTAGAACAGAACTAGAACAGAACTAGAACAGAACTAGAACAGAACTAGAACAGAACTAGAACAGAACTAGAACAGAACTAGAACAGAACTAGAACAGAACTAGAATAGAACTAGAACAGAACTAGAACAGAACTAGAACAGAACTAGAACAGAACTAGAACAGAACTAGAACAGAACTAGAACAGAACTAGAACAGACTAGAACAGAACTAGAACAGAACTAAACAGAACTAGAACAGAACTAGAACAGAACTAGAACAGAACTAGAACAGAACTAGAACTGAACTAGAACTGAATAAATATTGAAGTAGAATTTAAAGATTTTTGCACATTTTAGAGTTGGTCCTTCGAACCGTTATTTTAAACCATTATAGGGTCTTGCTTTAGTCTACATAATCTAACATTCTGTTTTTTTTTTTTGCTGCCGTTTAACTTCTTTAATTCCTAACCAAATGATATTTGATTTTGCTATATATTACTCTTTATTCCACTTTATTTATTTATACATTTTTTTGCTCATCTGTCCACATTTAAGTGGCGTTTTTAAGATTTGTTTTCTGTTGCTTTACCATTACAATTTTTTTTTGCTGTAGGTTTTTTTCTTATTTATTTTAATGTAAATGCGTTTAAAAGCCGTTTTTAAACGTCAATTCTTTTAGTTTCATGTTATCATTTTAAAAATTCGTTAAATAAAACCACAAGAGCTAAGGAAGAAAAAAAAGTTGTATTTCTTTACGAGAAAACCCCCCCCTTTTGAGCAAAAATCGCTTCTGGTGACTTGTTAAGTTCGTTAAAAAATGAATTTTATTTTTTGCAAAAACTTTACTAAATAATCATCCTCTTCTAGACTTCAACAGCTTCTACTGACTTTTAGTTTGAAATGTAACTTTATGGCTTGAATGGTTTTTTTTTTTCTTGGTTTTTTTGCTGTTTTTATACAATTTTTGCTAAACTCAGCAGGATGTTGTCTTGGTAATTAAGGATTAATTTTTGGTTGCTTAGTTATGGTTATTTTAAATGATTTTTTTTTCAAGATTTTTATTTTTTAGAAGTTTGCTGTATTAAATATCTTGAGCATTTATTGATATGTTAATTTTTTTTTTTGCTTGCTCTGAAGTTGTCTTAATGATATTCGAAGTTTAGTTCTTTTTTTAAACATTTATTGGTCTTGGGTTTTAGTTTTAAAGGAGGGTTTTTGGTTTATTTCTCATTTTAATTAAAATGAATGAGAAAGAAGTGTAATAGATAGAAACATAGTTGATTTGTTTAAAAAAAGAGCTAAATAGAATTGTAAGGTTGTGGAAATTCTCTTTTAAAAGATTTTTCTTGAGTTTGGGTCCTTCGAATCACAAGATTTTAAAAAATAAGGATATATGTTGATATTGTGGTAAAAAATTATTCAATTATGTTAGAAATTAATTAAAAAATTACTAAAAGTTTTTCTAAATCATTGTTTTAAATCAATTTTAAAATGTTACTTATGGTCCTTCGAGCTTTAAACTCCATTTTATATTTTGGCAATTACATTAGAAACTATCCTGTAAATATTCTAAGAAAATGTTGATGAAATTAAATGATTTCTAGAAGATTTCATAAACGAAATTAATTGTAAATTTAGATTCAGTTATGGTCCTACGAACCTTACACTAGATTACCTACAGCAATAAACAAGCTGTTTTGTGATCTCTGGCAATTATAATACAATTTATTTTAAAGAAATCTAATGGATTGCAAATGAAATTAAACCACTTAATGTTATTAATATAATGGTCCTTCGAGCTTTAATCAATTTCAAAAATTTCTTTGATATTTTCCATATCTAATACTTCAGAGTAATAAAACACATGGCAAGAGACAGGAAATAGTTTTATAGTTCAGCAATATTTTATGTAAATTTCCGTTAAATGAAATCTAATCTAACGGCTTATTAAAGAAAAACATGTAAATTTTTTTAAAAATTTTATTACCTTAATTTATTATGAAATTCTTCAAAGGGCTCTTAAAAACACCATAATAAAATTTCAAAGCTATAATTACCGCAATTCCAGACAAATTTAAACTTTTTAAACAACATTTTAATTTATAACCAAAAACCTTTATATTGCCCAATTCCTCAAATAAAACCCTCTTTTTTTAAGAAAATCCAAAAAAAAACCTTCAATCTTTTTTTAATAATTGTTATCATTGCACACATCATCATCATCATGATCATAAACACTACAATTATTCAGCACTCCAAACTAAAAAATGATGTGGTGATAAGACCTCCCTAACACTTTTACACTATAATTTCCCAAAAAAAAAATGTTTAAAAATTTAACACAAAAACTATCTTAAAATCAAGATAAACAATTGTAAAAGTTTATGTCTCTAAACAAAAAAAAAAAAATTTTGTTTTCAAGAAAAATGTAACAGGTTCTTAGAAAATTTGTACAACCAATACTCTACTAGACTCAAGTTGGTAGCCAAAAAACAATTTTATTTTATGATATTGTAAGTGTGCAACTGCAATTAAAAAGTGCAGGTAATGTCTCCCCTTTGCTTTTATATAAAACCTCTTATTTTTCTTTTCTAGGGGCCTCCGCCATCTTCAGAGATTTTATGATTGTTATTTTGTGTATTTTTAAGATTTTGTTTTTTACTTTAAATTGTTATAATTGCTGGCGGCTTTAAAACGTTTGATGTCTGTGAAGAGTTTTATTTTTGTACTTTTGTGTTTTTCTTTTAGAGGTAAAATGGTCTAGTTTTATGAGTATTTTTCTTGATAATTACACATGGAAATAGAGTTTGTACCGGCTTTAGTTTTGTTTAAATTTTTAAGTTATTAAAATCTTGACAAAAAGATAAAAAAAGCTAATGAAAACCAGGAAGGAAATTGATAAAAAATGTTAAACTACTAGAACCAGAACAGAACTCAAACCGAACTAGATTACAACTAGAACAGAACTAGAAGAGAACTAGAAGAGAACTATAAGAGAACTAGAAGAGAACTAGAACAGAACTAGAACAGAACTAGAACAGAACTAGAACAGAACTAGAACAGAACAGAACTAGAACAGAAACTAGAAAAGAACTTGAACAGAACTAGAACAGAACTAGAACAGAACTAGAACAGAACTAGAACAGAACTAGAACAGAACTAGAACAGAACTAGAACAGAACTAGAACAGGACTGGAACAGAACCAGAACTAGAACAGAACTAGAACAGAACTAGAACAGAACTAGAACAGAACTAGAACAGAACTAGAACAGAACTAGAACAGAACTAGAACAGAACTAGAACAGAACTAGAACAGAACTAGAACAGAACTAGAACAGAACTAGA